TGTCAAAAATTATTTAAACACAAGTATTGGAATACTTAACAAGAATGATTATAATACAGCAGCCGTACAAGTTTTTTAGAATAAATTAGTGAAAATATATTAAGTACTTACAACTAATCATATTATAACTAACCAAACTTTTAGAGCACCTATATATTACACAATGTAAATAATTTAATTCCATAAAACAGAAACAGAAAAAATAATATTAAGTTCAAGCACATTACTTGAAGCACAAAAAAAAAGTGTCGTAATATACAATGGTTTAAAACTTAAAACGATGTTTTTTCTGTACTTGCCTTCCAAATACTACTCTTACGATTCCAAACAATAAACAGGAACAAGGACGATCCGTCTGAAAACCTTCGTAACTGAGTTGTGCCGAGTCAGTCGTAAGACCTGCAGCGAGTAGATAACTCCAGTCGGCCGGTCGCGGTTATAATAATATTATGTTTATAAGGCTGAACTTTTTGTTTCGTCCAAATCGACAATATTCGTACAATAAAACTTGGCATTCTTTTCTCGGACGAGTTGACGTGGTAAGGGGTGTCTTGTATTGTGCGGCAATCGTTGTTATTGGTTTTTTTTTTCCGTCGAGGCCGGGTCTCGTTCACCGCTGTCGTTTTCAAACTATTTTCCGGGGAAATTAAATAAAAAAATCTCACATCAGCTGTCACTGTAACCTGTATGATAATAATATAACGATTCAAAATATGTTCGAATTGTAAAAACCGTTTGGATTCATGTATACAACAATAAACATAATAATATGTTTCGGGCCAAAAGGAAAATTGCTGGCACTGTGAACAGGTCGTGGTCGAAGATGGAAAATATTATTTATATTGCCCAGTCATTGACATAGTCAATTACCTATTATATTTTATTTAATGTAATGTAATTAAGATGTTATTAATTATTAGTAAATATGATTTAAATTCGAATTATTAAAAACAAAGTCCATTATAGTTAAAAAAAAGTGTTCTTACATTTTCAAATACACATTATTATAACAATAGTTATGATTTTATATTTGAAAATAGAATGCGAGCTGTAATATAATGTATGATAATAATACTATATTTTAATATACTGGGTGATTCTTTTATCAAACAACACTCATTATTTCAAAAAGTGTAAATTTTTTTGAAGATATTTTTTTACATAGTTTCAAGTCGCTTATAAAACAACGTTTTCATTAAAAATTATATTTTTAAATATTTTTTATCCTTATAATTTTTTAAGTTTTTTACTTTTTTGAATAACAACATAGGGTTTTAATTTTATATTTCAAAGCAGAATATTTTTCTTAGTATTTTGATACATGAAAATCGAATTTGGGTTGAGTAGTTTATGAGTTATAAGTATTTAAAGTTTAGACGAGCGGAGTGGAGTGGTTCGGGGTTACCCCGCGAAATGTTTGTCCACTTCACCGCTCGTCTAAACTTTAATTACTTATAACTCATAAACTACTCAACCCAAATTCGATTTTCATGTATCAAAATACTAAGAAAAATATTCTGCTTTTTAATATAAAATTAAAACCCTATGTTGTTATTCAAAAAAGTAAAAAACTTAAAAAATTATAAGGATAAAAAATATTTAAAATATAATTTTTTAATAAGAACGTTGTTTTATAAGCGACTTGAAACTATGTAAAAAATATTTTCAAAAAAATTTACACTTTTTGAAATAATGAGTGTTGTTTGATAAAAGAATCACGCTGTATATTTTAGTAATTAAGTAAACTTGACGACAGTGATAAAGTGCAATTCCTACTGAATAATATGCATTATCTAGCTGGTCATACTAGATTAAAAAAAAAATGGAAAAATGACAAATTATTGATACAGGCCTTTGCTGATAAATATAAATAACAGTAGGTACAGCCGATAACTAAATTCGGCCGATCTAAAATCGTATTTTTAGTAACCGTGTCAGTCTATATTTACCGATACCGATAATATCGATACCGCGATATTCAAACCGCTCTCATATCTACACGGTTCTGGAACGATTTTTAATAATAATATTGGGTAGGTACTGCAGTAGAGGTGTGCAGTTTTCACAAGACTTATTCGGCCCATTTCGTGGGAAATATCACTCCACTTCTGTACGGTGGCAGTGTTGTATACGCCCGCAAAATAATATCACATAAAAAACGACAGCAGCTGATTATTGTGCAATGCGTCTGGAACGGCGACGAATCGCACCATGGAAAAAATACGAACGACACACGCTTTTCCGTACATAATATCATTATATACCTTCTTACATTTTTCTCTTCACGATCCGATGGAAATAATTATGTCGCCCGTAGAAATAACGTCGGCGCATAAATAACTTTACCGAACATTCCGGCAGAAACGTTATTTTCGCCGAGTTTTAAGTATTTATTAACGACTCGCAATTTGAGAATTCGGTCACGTAGCGCGGCGAGGCGCACACATTATAATACACACACACATACCCTCATACGTACCCACACACTCACATTCACCCACACACCCACACTGCATGTTATTCATACACGTTCACACACATATGGCACGTATGCATTATGCGGTACGAGAAAATAATATTTTGATTGCGAAAAGTGAAACGAACATGTGTCGTCGTCGACGTCGTCCTATTGACTATATTATCATTATGTATATCCGCTAAGTTCCGTCTGTCGTATTCGTACGGAGAGAATATTTTAAATCCTCACGTGCCAAAGCGCGTATATGCAGACATTACATAATATTATGAACGTCTCCGAGTCGTTTATTTTCGGTCGTCTCTTAATAAATGCTCGTCGAGAATAAATTAAAAACTCGTATATTATATTATTATTATTATGCCGCTGTGACCTGACAACGGTTTGTAATACCAACACACCTAATTTGTTCGTTCGTTCGATTCCACTAGAAGACTAGTGACACTAGACACGGGCCGTATTTGTGAAACATTGTGTCGTTTGCATAATATTTTAAACGCGATAGTTTTATCCGATTTGTGAAAAGTTGAAAACTTAGTGCTTATAGTGGCGTTTTGTATAGTAAGTATTTTATTCCAAAGGGTCTTGTTTTCATTTTTTTTGCGCTAAACATAACACGAAAAAAAATCGATAACACTTAATATACCCATAGGTCCATGAATGCATATGATAAGTGCCTAATAAAATATCACGCAGTAAATAATATAAAAGGATTCGTAAAATATAAAGGAACGAGGAGGACATTGACGTAGGTAACGCGCAAATAGCATATTGCAGCTGTACAATAAAACGTTTTGTTTTCATGTCTAAAGTTAAAGTTCGGAATCATATTATATATTATTAATCCCATATTGAAGTGCGTTTGTGTTATATATTATTTACTGTCTAAAAAAAGAACTCATATTGTCATTCGCTGACGCAGTACGCATTAACATTGAAATATAAAATGAGTAGGTAGGTATATATGAATGTTGCATTGCGATTTTCCAGGAACGAGTAAACTCGGAAATAACGACTAGAGAGTGCGTCGAGGTAAACTAACTGCAACGTGCATAATATATTACTTTAAATGTGCAAATGCAGAATGCAGTTGCATTTTTAACCGGCCTTGGACGTTTTCGATTTGCACTTCCATCGTGTGTGTCTTATCTTTGAAATGAGTTCGTTTTTGTCACACATTATAATAGGGACCTATACTTGTCGACCATCGTACAACCACAATTCTTTAAACGTATTTATAAATTAAGATTATATTTTAGATGACGAAATCTGTAATTTTCCCTGTCCGTGTTATAAACATTGACGACATAATATAATATTACATATAACTGATAATAATATTTAAATGAATGTATTATTTTCAAATCGAATCATATTGCACACCTACGTTTTAATATTATTTTCGGAAAAACACTTAACACAAATTGTCATTAAATCATGAATACTATTACGGCATCAATTAATTTATGATTTATTTATTTTAATATTCATAAACTTTTGAAGGTTTGTCTTTTATTGCAGATTTTAACAAAAACGATAATATATATATATTAAGGCATTTTTTAATTATTTTCATATTTTAAGAAGTTGCATCGTTAAAATTGTATTTCGGTTCAATATAAATAAAAATAGTATACACTTTTAACGTCAAAAGTAATAATCAATTTAATGATAAACAATATATTTTTTAAAACAGTATTATGAATTACAATTAAGCATTTTTCATTAGTTTATTTAAATGCAAACGCTAATATTTCGAAATGGAGAGCACTTTATCTTTCCAAATCTACAGTGTCTGTTTTTTGGAATAAAAGAAAAATATTTTAAAATAAATAACTGAGTAGCAAATATTTAATCAAGATCGGTTAATGTTTCAAAAAAAAAAAGAGGTATACAGATTCAAAATGTGAACTTTGAAGTAAACAACATTAATAAACATTGATAGCTCCGTCGTTCAGCTCGAGATTAAATTTTGGGTGGAATACAAATATTGAAATTAAAAAGAAAAATGTAGAACTTAGTAAAAAAAAACTATCTAGTACAAAAACTATTTCAATTATTCAAACTGCCTTAGCTATGGCCTGATTCATTGTAAAGCGTTCGCCGTCTATATATTATACGTTTAATAGATGTTATGAAAAAAAAATTATACCAAAAATACACTTATTAAAGACTTTATTATTTTGTCGTTAAAAACTTTTGTTTTGTGGAAATTCTTTTTGGACCACATTAAGTATGTTTTATAGATAGAACAACAAATACTGGAGTGAACGATAAATTGTATAATATGTTAATATGAACTATTAATTATTATTACTATTTGGGAAACAATAAATAATTTAAATACAAAATGTTATTATTTTTATTATAAACGATTTTGTTGTAACATTGTTTTTTGTAACTTGTGGTTTGGAAATATAATGGGGGGCGGGTACCATAGCAAACACAATCCATATTTTGCTGATTTACTGCTATTATTTTGCATACCCAGAGCGCCGTCTTACATTTTTTTTACTTTCAACAGATGTACCTGTTGTTAACCTTGAACTTGGCAGCAACATCAACGGCAGCGCTATACAAGAAGGCATGGACGTGTATTTTGAATGTAACATCAAATCGAACCCATGGGTGTACAGAGTGACATGGAGACACAACGTAAGTACATTGGTGTATCTAGTGTTTAAATTGACATAGCAAAAATATTAGTACATAATAATTTAATATATTATTTTAGATGTATATTTTTTTAAACATTAGGTAATATCATGCATTTATATAAAAATAAAATTTGTAATTTATATTTTTATGAATTTATTAATAAAAGTATCGTTATAATTTATGAGATGAAATGTCTAATTCAATGTTTAGAAATTTTTTTTCATTCATCAAAAGCCAATATATCAACATACATTTTTGACTTTACACAGAAAAGTAATTACGTAAACATAATCAACATGTTATGATGTAATGTAAGCATGTATAATTATTTCGTTTGGAAATTACAAGCGATAATTTTTGCAACAGTTAACTAATTAAACTTTAAAATGGCAAGCAAATATTAAATAAATGTTAGTGTTCATATATATAATCATGACATACTAGATTTATGTATCGGTGATACAAATACTTCGAACTAAAGTATCCAAACTTTCTAGACACATATAAACATATATATGTGTAATGTGTATTGCATATTCATGCATATTTATAGTTTAAATATCGACACAAAATAAACAAACCACAATAACGATCGTTTTTGATATTTTATTCAATCATATGGAGATAGCTATATTTTCTCCTGATATAGATACTACCACAAAATTATACAGAAAGTTTTGCTTAATGTGATTACATTGGTACAGGTCACTCGATTTGATTCGATTGAGTATACAAATCATGTAAATATTATATTTAATATTTACATAATATTTCATTATTAAAAACATAAAATATAAAAAAAATTGATAACAACTGAACAAATATACATAAATATAACGTTATTAGTATTAGAACATTAAATATACAACAAGGAAAAGAAACTATCAATAGTAAAGTTGATTCAATTTCAGCATTTTAGCATGAAAACAAAACATTTAATACGTAAAAGTAGTTTTTATTTTTTGCTGAAAATAAATAAGCAGCACCTGTAACAACATGGAATAATTAAAAAATGTTGAAGCGTCATTTTTTCGACTCAGAACATAATAATTATATTTTATTATAATTATTACAATAATTATTAGCTTGACAATTTATAGCCTTAAAATCAAAAAAAATAATAATCAATTTAACTATTCGGTACTTAGTGATGCAAACAATAGAATATAACCTTTCTAAGTAAATTTAACATACCTAGCAGACATACTATTAGGTCTTATATAGTTATATGGTATCATTTACTTTTCTATTTATTTTTCGCTTTCAATAAATGGTAAATTATATTAACCAGTGATCACGTTATGAGGAATTTGCTTTGTTATTGATATCCAGTCGGTCACGATGTTTCCCCAACACATCGCGTCCTCAATACAGAACATGTTTGGTCGTCAACCCAAACTTTTTAACCTCAGTGTATCTATATTATCATACTCATCATCGTATTCGGTATACACAGGGAAAGCTGCTGAACAACAACCCGGCCGCTGGCACGATTGTCAGCAATCAGAGTCTGGTCTTGCAAAAGGTGTCTCGGAGCCGAGCCGGCATTTACACGTGCGTTGGTAGCAATCAGGAGGGCGATGGCGAGAGCAATTCAGTGCCCTTAGACATTAAATGTGAGTATGAATGAAAAATATTATAACATTAGCAATATGGACACCTATGTTGTGACCTGAGTACATTATGAAGTTATTGCTTCGGAAATTTTGTATTGTCTTTATTTATTCTACATTTGCAGTCACGTCATTAGTATGACCAGCGGCTTATAAATTATAATCATATATTCTATTTTTGATGTCAACATCCTTTTTCCTCGATGAATATTGCACTGTATTCAATAATCCGCATGCATCAAACGATGTGTTATTACTTCCGTTTATTACGTCGTTCGATCACTTTTCTTTAAAAGGCCCTATTTCGTTAAAAATTAAGTTTAAATGAAACAAAAATTCCCCATTGACCAACGTGTCTAATCGATACGCACATCACAAACACATTTTTGCTAATATAACAACCGAAAATGACTACGCAGGACGTAGAAAATAATCGCTTCTTCAAATGAATTTGCAGATATTTAATATTAAAACGCAATAAATAAACACCTAACGTGCTCTCCCAATGGTTTTCGGAACGTACATACAAAAAATATATTTTTCGACAAACCACATGAACCTAGTATATCATTTATCACGCCTCTGTAACTGCGCATGGGCCAACTAGTTTGAAAATTATATACTTTGGAAAATATATTGTGTCTTCTCTCGATTTTTACAAACGATTAAAATGTATAAGAGATAACCAAACAGATGATTATAGGTAGTTTCTGCCGACTGTTTAGTCGAATCTATTCGTTGGCATCGCTTTCGTTTAGAGTCGGGCAAATAATACGATCTCGCGTTACTGCGGCACTTCACGAGTGCTTATCTCACCATTAATATAATATTCGATTTAAATTAATACCTATACATCTATATCAGAAAACAACGGTATATTAATGAGCGTCTGACTGTTCGTTTGCTGGATACTTTGAAAAAGAGCGATTTTAAGTCCTCGTTCAAAGAGAAACACTGCACCGTGTGCGTTCGGCAAATAGTTATTGTCATTATACCCTACGTCATACTTGTACCTTGTTCCTTTGTTCGTTCACGGTATGTCATCTTCAATAGTCCACACATATCTGGTCGAACACGAGTCAAGCCTGACCCCATTTTTCGTCTCTGTTGACTACGAGTCGTAGTCTACGACCGTTATGTTTGTTGTGGTTTTGGTGGGTACGATTCGGAATAATAATCGTTAGCAAACCTCTAATTTAACCTATGGCTTCGCCGTAAAACTTTGCAGGTTGCCGATGTGCGTTCAACCGATGTGTGATGATGCTAATGTTTCCGTCGTATTTCCATAGATAATATATACAACGATAGGACATCCCTATACTACAAGGTATACTGTGAGCGAAGAGTCTACTAGTTACCATAATGGTTATTTGCGGTATTAGATAGTTATACGATAAAGACAATTTTTGTCAACCCATAATCTGCACATTTTTAGATTTTTTAACAGTTAATTTTATTATGGTTGTTTAACTATTATTATTATTGACTATAATTGTAATTATCTATTATTTTGTCCGCATTTTTTGATGTATTATTAAAAAGTAAAAACTAAAATAGTATTAATGTTTGTATTGTAGTATCACTTATAATCATTTCGGTAACTAGTTATATGCTCTTCCATCACACTTAAATACACGGTACCTATATGTCCCATCTATATGTTTATATAATTATCTATACTCTTATCCCCCCCCCCAAACCAATATCCAAACTGACGCTCCTCGATACGCACTTGATTATACTTTATACCTGATATGGTGACTGGTCTTGGGGTAGCTACGATGCAGTAACCGAAACGACTTAATAGCAGCCATACCAAAATAAATACTCACCGGTCTGTCTTTAAATGTCTCGCGTTATCTATCACGGTCCCCTTTTTTCTTGTCATCATCCGTCGCTAAATCGAGGGTTTGACATTTTAATATAGGTACCTACCTGTTTTTAATCACAATAAGTATGTAAAAAATGTGATTTATACTATAATAATATATTGTACATTTAGTATACAACGCACTCATTTTCTACGTATTCCCCTCCCCCGTGTTTCGCAATGTTCAAAATACTCATTCCGACACATCGTCCGTCCGATTTTCTTTTTAACTGATTTTGAACCATCGCCAAATCCAATCGACAAATTGTCATAAGCTATACATCAATGGGATGCACGACTGGTATTATGTAGGTACACATTATTATATCATATTATTATGGTGTTAAAACAACGAGTTCATCTTGTTTTTGATTCGGTTTAAAAATATTATTAATTTATCAACCTTATAATATAATATTATTTTAATACTGAGACTAATATCATCGTTTGGTTTTCCCGTTTCGGTAGTGTTACGTTCTAATTCACTATTTTATATGTTTTAAGGTTCGCATGAAAAATTGAAGTTGTTTACGACATGGTTTTTTATTTTAAGTGGTCTTCTTTGGATAGAATTTACTGTGTTAATAGAAATAAACTTTTATTTTTTACTAGGAGCTATTGGTGTTGTATCAAACTTTTAGGTACCCTTATTTTATATTCTTTACTGTTTTTTTTTTCTAAAAACGATTTCCTAGTAATAAAATGTTCATAAAGCTGTATACACTACTTCTAAGTCATATGGACTGTAAGCTAGTAAAAAATTCACTCAAAAGTTATTATTTTTATAAATTATATACCTAACTTTTAACTAAGTTTTTATATCTAAACATTTTGTGGAAAAAGTAAGAACATGTACTTTTCCGTATGACTACTTTTGGATAAACCTTTCACTAATCTGCTTGTTTGCTTTTCCATTGTAATACGTATATTATTTCTTACAAATATGATGACACTATTATACCTTACTGCAGCTTAGTAATTTTGTATTTTCCATTTAAAACTATCGAAGTTGCATAATTTAACTATACTTTTAAACTATTTCGTGTCTTCAAACCTGAAATATTTAAATTTTTTCTAATTGACTCGAATATAAAAACTTTTCAGTAGTGAGCATTGTTTCTTAAATAATAGGTGGAAACTGGAAAGTGTACTCAGACAATGTTCAAGCCGACCTTTAAATATCCTCACATTTTATTTTAAAGACATTGCTCCCCGAACAATTACGAATTACGATCCCTGCAAAGTTTACAGTATAAAATGAATATTTCCAGTTTTAACTTTCAAAGTACTTTTTCTTTGAAAAACTTGAAATTTATAAAATCTGAATTTAAAACAGAAAAAATTAAAATTTTAATTTCATTTCAACGTTACGATCTCAAAAATGCGTGCAGAGATTCTATGTCACCGAGTGTCATATGTTACAGTTGGACGAGCAAGCAATACTTTAGTATAGTTAAACTAAGCACAGTTCATTTAAAAAATAATCGCTAAATTGAATGATCTTTAGCATTAGAAAAGTAAAAACAAAACCTACCACTATTAATATAATATGTATATGCCTTTATAATGTAAATGATGCTGTTATTATATTTTGCATTAAACTCAACATTCTCATGAGGCGATGACTAATGATGTAGATGTTTCTAAAATACTAAAGCGCATAAATAATATCCAGGAAACTTTTTTGCCGCCTTAATCCTTTGTCGGAGACAAGCGAACATCTGTTCGGTGTCCGTACGCGCGCCACACGATAAAAAAAGGGGCTTGGATAAAAGTACATTAGTTGTTAATATTTCGTTAACGGACTTTCCCGTGGCGAGTGATATTATTCATAAAGACAAAACGAAAAATATATAATATAATATTATGTACTTATTTATATACTATTTTTTTTATTATACATTTTCTTTTTTACCTCTCAGCTCACACTTTACGAGCCGTACCGATTGTCCCGAGGAAAGTAATGTAATGTATTTCCCATTTCGGAAACGCGTGGAGTACAAAAAGAGCTCAACCGTTAAGTTCTCCGTTCGTTTTACGATCGTTTTATAACCTAATTCGATTGCTCATTCAAAAGTTTTCTCGTACAAAGTTTTTAAAGGGTGAATAATACTTAGTAAAAAGTCAACGCTAACTGAAAATAAAGGAAACGATGGTTTAAAAAAACATCTGTTTAACTACTACGATATTCAAAGTTATCGCCGATCCTAGATTTCCGAACAGTAATAAAAACACTACGAATGGACTATTCTCTGTCGGTTCATATTTTAAATTTTATTTGCTATTTGCCAAGGTTTGTTTTCACATAACATTGAAATATTGTAATATTATAATCTATCAATCGGCGACATCTTTGTTCGCAAGGCCGTATCTGGAATTGCATATTTGGTCCGAACCCATCCTCCCACTCATCCACAAAAAAAAATGTATATGTTTATTATTTTCTATATGTTTAAAAAAATACGACGATCATTAGCTTACACGAATCCGGCTTAATTTTTTCAAACTTATAATATTCAATAGTTTACGGTTTCAGAATAAGTTTCTTTGAGGATAATGGCTCGATATAACACTGATATAATGATATAAAATCAGTATAATAACTGACAAAAGTATTATTCGAATTCAAGTACAGGTATGTACTGCCGTTGCATTTGTATTTCCAAATATATCTTCAAGTACCTATTGTCGAATAATTTGAATAGATTACACCGTTATATACAATGCTACCAATTCTTGAAACTATTTTGCGCCATACGCGTTGAAATCTGTATTTTTTAAAATTTTTTTATTTAAAATAATGTTTCAAAAACTGGGTCATTAGCCTACGTTTAAATTAATTATGGTAGCATTACAAATGGTATAATTTTGCTTTATATTAATTATGTAAAATATAATAATTATTAATTAATATTAATCACATCGATGGTTTTGAAAAGTTATCAGGTATATGTACGTAATTAAGTAGATTGTGTTTTAGATTTGTAATCGGATTTAGTCGGCGATAATTTAAAGCTTGTAGAAGATAAATAACTATGTAGCAACTAAGAAAGACTTTGTTTTGGTTTAAATTTCGATGGTATTGATATTGTTTCCACCTAAGTATAATATTTGGCACTCATCAGTAAATAATGTGAACTTCATCTGGTTTTTCATTTGCAAGTGTTGTTGAAAAAAATCCTATATTGGCGATGAAATAGTTACAATATAGGTATTAATAGTAACACTTATCGAGGGGCCTTTAGGCATATAAATACCTATATATTGTATTATAATATTTTTAAATACTTGTTCCCGGATACTTGACAACTTGCTAGTTTTTCGCATACATGTAGGTGGATGTAGATGTGTGTACGTATATAAATCTGTTTTATATAATAGCATAAGAGTGTGGGTGTGTGGGTATATCGGGGTATACCTTACCCAACCACGCGCGTTTCGGTCGGACCACCACCCAATAATAATAATTATGTCCTTTGTTTTAATATTATACACGTACTCTTCGAGATCAGATTATATGAGAACTATAGAATACAGAAACAATACGAAACATAAAGGAACAAAACAAATCATATTAGCATAAAGTGGCGTTTATTTTTTATGTGTCCAGATAATTTTCCAAACACAAACCCATCCTCCGCTCCAATAACATACTGTAAAAGGAATTCAATTTATTACAAAACATAAAGAAACCGTTTTGTTTGAAGCTATTATTAACTAGGAATTAAATTAAATTCCGATGAATTAAAAAAAAATTTATTTTCTTAGTGCCCCAGAAAAAATGGAAGAATAAATAAATACATTTTAAAACAATTAATTTCTAAAAAATACATTAAGTTATCAGACACTCAAAAAAATGTTTAAGATCTTGATAATTAAAAACTTAAAAAAATCACAATTCAAAATATAAAAAAAGAAACAATAATGATATTTTAAATTAAAACTATTTTTAGTAATATCATTAATATAATAAAAACATTTTCTTTAAAGTTCAAGTAGATTATTCGTTTCATAAATGTGATAAAAATGTTATATAAATCATAAATGAGTTAATAAATAAAATAATATCTCAATATATGAACTATTTATATAATAGTAGGTATCTAAAGTTTCAAAAAATCGTAAAAATGATATGTAAGTAATATATATACTTTATATTTTTGTCCTGCTATGATTTGAAAATTGGAGTTTCAAAATATTTAAAATATAAATTTATATTTATTTAATACGTTCTATAGGTATTAATACTAAATCATATTTTTGAAAACCTATATTCTGGTTGATGGTAAAAATGTGAACAACGAGATATTATTAACTTCCTGGTTTTAATGAATAATTATTACTATGCTGCCGTATTAAAATCCAAAATCATAATAATATATTCGTAATTGAATAATTCAATGGTTTTTTCGGTCATTGAACATCTTTCAATCCGAACCTTATACCTAACCCTTTTCATCCAACGTCAGTGAGCGACGCCGCGGACCTCTACACGGGCACTCGTTGTTCCAATAATTACGATTTCGGGTAAACTGCTTGGGGTAAAGTTTTGGAATAACGGGCGAAAACGGACGGACCCGGCAATTAATAAACGGAGGTTGACCCAACCCAGTTCGTTTGTCACTCGTGTTTGTCACAGTCATCGACGTCAATGCATTTGTTATACTGTTTTCACCGATGTGGAGGCAATGCGTCTTCGTCCCAACACTACTCGACAATATATATTATTATACAATGCACTCGAGTTGTTTGAATTCATTTGAGCAGAAGTGTTCGGATGAAATACGTATTCGAATTATACTTTTCTTGGTATTCGAACACATTCCACTCCATATATGCATGTTGTAAAATGCGAATTCGTGTGCAATTATACACCTGCTTGGATTGCGACCATGATTTTTCATTGGTTACAGAAATAAAAGAGACTTTTATATTTTAATCTGTACAGTAAACGTTTATATGGAAAATGTATGTTTATACATTTTCTAGATAAACAGATTTGTTGCTTGTATACTAAAAAAAACCATGTGACCGATTTTGACGGAAAATTTAAAATCATTCCAAGAGATATCAGAAAAGTCAAAAGTTTAAAAGTAGTTTGAGCCACGTTCGAAAATATATTAAGTGCTGTATTACATATCCTCTACAAGCGACTCGCCCATCCAGGTCAGAGTTGGTTCACAAAGCGAGGTTCACTCAGTTCACCAATTCAACAACACTAAAATCGAAATACACTTATAATACAATAGAACAGTATTTTATATTTTTTTTTCACTGGTAAAGGCGTGTAATACGGTTAGTTTTATACTATGAATAACATGAATTTAGTTTGAAAATCCATACCCAAGCAAATTCAAAAAATGTTCTGTGTATCTTATCAGTTTTTCTCCCGACTCGCATTTTTGAGGAAACTGGACGAGTAAGTAGGTACTTACTGAAATTCACGTTTTGCTTTATGAAACATCAATTATAGTATCCTATATTGAAATATATCGAAAAATGTTCTCGGGAAGTCCATTTAATAATAATATAGTCCACGCCATAGTTTCAAACCGAAAACCGTACTTGTGGTAATGTGAACGTAAATAATATGTAAGATGAAGGTATCACTGTTATCGTATTTATTAATGTTTCAGTTGCCCCAGTATGTCGACCCGGCCAAGAGACGGTGCAAGGAGTGGGCAGACGAGAAGCTGCCAAAGTGCTGTGCGAGGTGGAGGCCAACCCGTCGGACAACGTACGGTACACGTGGCGTTTCAACAACTCAAGGGAAACGGTCAACTTGGATCGTGACCGTTATACGGAGGAGGGACCGCGGAGCACTGCTGCGTACACGCCACTGACGCCACTCGATTACGGGACACTCATGTGTTGGGCGAGCAACGAGTTTGGCAAACAAACAGTGCCATGCGTGTACCAGGTGATAGCTGCCGGTAAGTGTTTTTCGGTATATTATATTAATATATTATCGAAACATCGATAACAATATTATTATGTCAATCGATATCGTCACAGATACCTCTGATATTTATCGAAACGTCGTAAGTAATAATAAATTGTGTCTATCGATATCTCCACAGAGTATATACCACCTACTCCAAAATAAAAATCAACCACCGACGACCGCGAGTAATAAAATTATTATTTTTTTCATACACGCATAATAAAATCGTGTGACGTTGTTTGATTCTTACAAATATTTTATTTATATTTACGTAGCTGTATTCCATTTGGCGTGCTATTCATTCCCATAGAAATCGTTAAAGTTTTTAAATTAACCGAAACTTTTAATAAATACCTAATGACGGAGTTTTTTTTATGTCTTTATGTATATAATATATGTATACGTACTAAGGTCGAACTATGTACAATGCGTAACATGATATATTTCAAAATGCCACGCTTAAAAATGTTAGTTATAAATGTTAAAACTTTAAACACGCGTGTCGCGAGGGGAATAAATCAAAAGGTATATTATACACTTTAACAGCATAACGACCTAATGTATCACAGATTATTCGTAAAAAAATATATGATATTGTAACAATATCAAGCGTCGATTTCAACTATAACTACCATCCATTGCGTTACATGACTGAAAAACTAATACGATCGTAAGTGGTTCAGCGTGATAGAAAAACAATGAAAAATATACACCAATAGTTGTAGTCTATATAGGTACTCTATAATTTAAAAATATATTGTTTTTATACACCTATATTTTAGTTAGAAATTTTCTGTCTCCTTTGGAGGTTTGAAAATGATTTGCTTGTATCCTAATATCGTTTACTGCAGTAAATGATATATTTTAATTCTATCGCTGCGAACACCCGCAAAAATTAATTAATAAAATATTATTACTTCAAGGATTTCACATAGTAAGTGTATTCATGCCCCAACTTATCTCCAGTCTATTTCCTTTCTCTACTAAGATTTACAATTACTTTCTATAGAGATAACGAGTGTGTGAATCAAGATTTAAAAACAATAATTTCACCGACGTATTATTTATGAAATATAAACATATACACTTAAAGTATACATTATTCCTATAGTGATATTTATGTTCAAGTGTAATAAAAACTCATCTAAAGCTCTCAGATAAAGAACGGGAATCGCTCACCCCCCCCCTCCCCCACCAACTGTAAACACTCAGGAATTGTATTTAACCGTGACTGACGCACTCTTCGCACACCTGAATATAGTGTCTAAAAAGTTTAGGACCAAACTACTCTCCAGAAATGACGTGACGCGCTCTTCACGATTATTCTTCTCCAGGATAAACTTTTCGGCATTGCCTCTGCGGAAGTGTGTAATGGAAACCACATCGCGTAGACCAAGTGGAAGTTTTCGCAATAATAATATTACATAATGGCGTTTCCGGGGAACCCGGCGACCGACATCCGGGCCCCGCGAAACAAACCAGAACACCCGGACCTTTTGTGAGCGCCACTCACCGAACTTGGCGTTTAACTTTTGGCATAACGTCATGCGCCGCCGAGTCCGTTCCTTTAAGCGGAACTCGCGGACTGCGGTGCGACAACGAAAAGCGGCGATGCTATGAGTGGACGATGAGCAGCCGAGGAAGGTGGAAAAATAAAAACTGAATTTCCCGTGAGATTTCAGCAGAAAAAATAAAAATTCACACTTATTATACGGAAATGAACCACACAAGTCCCATTGCCACGGTTCGACAACCGTCTCGCAGTTTAGTAAATATACAAGTTTAGCCGGGCGACCGAAGACCGAAATTATCGGTGCATTATATAAAATAATATGTGTCCAATGCCCTCGAGGTTATCCCAAAAGCGGTTATCCCGGGCTTTGAACTTAAGAAGTTTTTCTTTATTATTATTATTATTATCATCGTGCGCGGCTGCAGTTGTACGTTAATGGCCACGCGTGCGTAAAAATACAGGCGGGACGACAAACCTCTAATTATTCACCCGAAAACCGATTCTTTAAAAGTATCTATAAATATCCTATTCCATATATATATACTGTAGTAGGTACTTCCGCAGCTTAATCCACCATATATTACTGTCGTGCTGTATAAATACGTCTATACACATACACACACACACACGTAGCTTCTAGCTAAAACCATTCAAGATCTCTCATAATCGAATTAAAAGTTTGCGACTAAAACGGTCTGCCGACGACGAACGGTTTCGGTCACCGTTAAAAATGTAAAACGTTTAACTCTCGGAAATCACAAAACGAAAATATATAAAACACCGTTCAACGGAAACGAAGAACAGGACAGTTCAACTCGTAAATTAATACGATCCTGCACGACGTCGCCCGTAGATGTACTCCTTTTTAAACTCTGTTCAATGTAAACTGCACAGATTTTTAGCATAGTTGTTTGGGTTATTTTGAGATCCTATATATGAAATACGGGTCTAAAATTATATCCAATCATAATGACATTTACAGAAGGTAGGAAATTAACCTACCTGTGAAAACCCCGTCAAAATCGGTTACCCGTTCGAATTCATTCCTGGAAAAACAATGTTAATATATATTTATTATGCTGGTGTTTCATCCAATATTACATTGAATCATGTGCAATTGAAAATCACACCATACATACAATTTGAAAACTTTAATTTATGATAAAAAAGAACAATAAAAATAAAAACATAAGATCTTTTTTTGGTATTGCAAATAAGTTGTTTTTGAGAAATATCGATGAATGAGAGAGTGGCACCTATTTTTTTCTTAGAATATATAGAAATTATTATACAAACGTCGGTTTAGAGTTAATGTTATTAATCCGACAGTCAAACTAGTACCGGTTAATGAGGATTTTGTTCGGGCATAACCAAGTAGTAGGTATCGTACAATGCCTGTACTTTTTTTTCCTTTATATCAATTCAATACCCAAATCTGAACCTCTATGGCAAGTTAAACGTTTAACTTACTAATTATGTTTTGTTAAAATTTGTCCCGTGTAACCACACCACTACAAATATTTATGGGCCAATGATAAAATAGTATAATTTAAAAAAAAAACAAACAAACAAACAAATGATAACGTTATTAATAACCGCGTTTTTTGTCACCGCAGTCCAGTACCGTTTTATAAATAAAATTAAAAGCTCCCCGACAAGTTATAATATCTTTATTATTTTAAATAATAAACTATCATAATTGTGTGATGGATAATAATTTAAATTACATCGACTTTTGGATAACGATGAACATAAATCGTTATAATTAATATAATAATATCAAATAAACTAAACTTTTATTTGAAATGTTTGATACTTTGACCTAACTTCATTTTTGGAACATTTATTATTTCAAAACTATAATCAAGTTTTTGAAAAATATACTTATTTCACATATAATTTTAACTCATAATAAATTACAAAATATTTTACTATTTGTAATTGTTATGATTACCTAATTGAATCGTAAATGGTAATATACTATACATAATGAATTTCATTTTCCGATGCAGAATATTTGTCAGAGTATTTAAATGATGCATGGAATCAAATCTCAATCAAATCTAATAGTCGCTTTATATTTAGTTAATATCGTAAATATTTAAAGATTATAAAAGAGCAAGGCTGGGCAAGTTAATGTTTATTTTTAACTTGTTAAGTTAAGTTTTTTAAAATAATTAAGTTAAGTTAAGTTAAAGTTACTCGTATTTTGTATCGTTAAACTCGTTAAGTTAAAAGTTAACTTTGAAAAAAAAGTAACTTAACTTAGTGTAAAGTTAAAATTTGCTAATTTGCAAAAATAGAAAATTCCAGACACATAATGTGGTTTATTAGATAGTTTTTCTTTACGTCTAAGAAAATTACTGGGGAAATTTAAAATGATACATCAAAGTAAAAACACATTAAAAATTTACATTATTCTTCGGAAGAAAATTAACTTAATTTAGGATATTTTTGAAATAAAAATTAACTTGAAGTGAAACACGTTATCTTGAAAAAAAGCAACTTATTAAGTTAAAAGTTAATTTGAAAAAAAAAAGTAACGAGTTAATTAACTTATTAAATTAACTTAACGTTTTAACTTAATTTTAATTTTTAACTCGTTAATGCCCAGCCTTGTAAAAGAGTATCAGCATTTTGCGTCTATCCAAATTTCAAATACTTATAATAATATACCGATGGATGTTTAGTTGTTGTTAGTGTCCGCGGTTTTCTGGAGTGGTTTTTCTCTGTGGACTTGGCTTATCAGTCGAAAAATACTTCCGCCAACGAGATAATATTATACATTAATGATATCGATGAAGATCTTCTGTACTTAAAATTTTTATTGTACAACTGTTTGCACCATACGTACCTATATATTATAATATTGTATCAAATGTTTTATACAGGGCGCCCGGACAGCTTGGAAAACTGCTCGGTGGTAAACCAGACTTCGGCATCTCTGGTGGTCCGGTGCCAACCAGGTTTTGACGGTGGTCTCAGCCAGAGGTTCGTCATGGAGGTGTACGATCGACACGGACAGTCACTGGCTGGCAACGTGACGGCTGACCATCCTGCATTCACTGTGGGCAGTCTTCCTTCCGGTTTGGGATTCGACATCAGCGTTTACGCGTACAACAGCCGCGGACCATCCGATCCTGTCCAGCTCCACGCCTACACCCTCAAGTCGGCCGAGAAACGCACAGGTACGGACGATGCACAGATATCAATAATAATAATAACAATATCAGTTTTCGAAGTCGCGTATAATATTATAGTTTAGGTACAGGTACGGTATACTAAATATGGTTTTTTGGTAGGTCGAAGGATCGCGGTCGCCGCCGATTGTAGTGCCTAGCTTTAACCGCAACCCGTTGGGCAATAATAAACGGTATTATGTTTGAAACGCGTGTCAAAACAACGAAAAAGAAAAATAATATCGCTAGATACGCGTTATTGCGTTATACGTGATCCCGGTCCCATTTAAATTGATAACCTCCGTTGGAGAATAAATTATGAAAACGTTACCGCACGCATAATCCGTTTTTCTCCCGTTTTCGTATTCGTTTATAGTCGAGCCTTTCTCTATCTTTGTCTCCTCTCTCTCTCTCTCTCTCTCTCTCTCTCTATCGAGAGTGCCACGTTGATGGATTTTTATACCACGGTTCAAACTTTATTCTATTCGAATGGTTTCGATAAGCTTCCAAAACGTTGGACGGCACGAACCCGAGTAAAGTGCTAAAGCTAAAAGTAAAGCGCTATAGTAAAGTAAACTTCTATGCACATCATTTTATGGGTTTTATAAGCACTCCTGCAGCAGATTTAGCTGCAGTATAACCATAGTTTCGTGCAATTATGTAGGGCATCTGGGACAATCTGACATTAACTGACAATACCTACGTGAAGGGTTTCCCCATGAATACCATATACCTTATAGTTTATTTTATTATCCGATGCTCTCAAATATTAAATTTTACGAACAAAAAAGTTACTTGAAAGTTATATCGGATAAATATGTTATAATTTGCTATTATAGTTTTTGCCATCATACGAACCACTCGATTTTCACTCATCCCTATATTCACGACCGTACTTACTACTGTTATAAACCTCCGTTTACTGATATAACATAAACTTCATAATTTGGAAGTTGAAAACTATTTATACTTAACAAAACTTACAATTTACAATGCATCTTTTACATAATATTACTCATTGCTATGTACATGTCAAGTTGAATACATTATAGTACTTTCAAGATATTTCCTTTTTCTTTAACTTTGTTACAATTACATGCACTCTGTAAACTAGTTATACACATTTATTGTAACACATAATTTACGATTTTATGGCCAATAAAGCTCTATATTACTATATCATTGTTATTAATAATTAATATTGCACATAAATGTAACGTTTATTTTATGTAAAACACTTTATTAGACTAACTAAAACCAGAAATAATAAATTAAAATTGTGTGATGATATATTGCTTACCTACTTAAAATCCTAATTATTATATCACATAATAATATGTTTTTAATTATCACGCCATCAACTATACCGGCTAACTGGAGACAGTGTGATAATGCCGTTACTATAAGTTTGCTGAGTTCAAGGGGAAGCTAATACAATTATGTGCATCTTGTGTAGTCTGTAGTCAGTTCGTATAAAACATTGTACGATAGTGAAGTGGGTACGTCAAAATGCCTATGAAAACATTGCTATAATTTTAAAGAACAGTTATTGAAGGTTAGAAGTGATTACACTTGTAGGTTCGACGGCCTGGCTGACGTAAAACCATTAGGTAATAACAATATCAATAAATATGCCTACCTATCCAGATAGTTTTTTTCCAGTTTTAAAAATAATGGACCCTACTAGAGTATGTTATATACTATTATATAATGTAAATAATTATGATATCAAGGAGCTTAAAATAGGTAAATTTGGTACATCATGTACAGGTACTATGATAACGTATCCCAAAATTTCGCTGCTCTCTGATATGCGAAAAAAAAGTCAAAACCTTTAAGTCACACATATTCATTAGGCAAGATTACGAGTGTAATTGGCGGTAATGTGTTACATTAGATTTTAAAAACCAGCCGTGTCGGTCGTCTGTAAGTTAGGTGCACTGTATGGTATGAATCTCACACTATCGCACCAAATTAATATTGTGTAAAGTATTCGTGATATCGCAGTAAATACACACCTCGCCAATCAAGGTTGCGGTTTAGACCGAAGGCCTTTGCACACAACACGCGAGCTATAACACGCCCATACCAATAACAATAACTTTGGCAGTGTCTATAAATATGATTTTTATCGTTTGTGAATTCTGCGTTGTAGCCTGCTCTCGGCGTCCGTATTATGGCTCGCTCAGTTATAATACCGGCGAAACGTACAAAGAGTTCGAGAAAATCGAATAAGCTTGCCTATTGCCTCACAAATAGCGTTCTCAATTGAAATTTATTCCGGGCCGATAGTCATTACTTAAAAGAATACATACGAGAGGAGCCCGAGCGGGCGTGTGTGTGTGTGTGTGTGTGTGTGTGTGAGAGAGAGAGAGAGAGAGAGAGAGAGAGAGAGAGATAGTGTGTGCATTCCGGTCACGTAGCCGGCTGGCTTTGGCTTCGGGGAGCTCTAACAATGGCAGGGGGAAGAGCACCTACATACACTCAATTACGTCCGAGTTTGGCGGGGCTGGAAAAGTGATGATCAAAAATGAAATAGTGACGCGCTGCGCACCCAGAGACGCTACAACAAGTTCTCGACGAACGCCGATAACGTATTACCCAATCGTGTGATTAGATTAACCTAATGCGGAATTCTCTAGTAGTTGGCTGTAATAAAATGTAATACCCGCACGCGTGCCCAGAACCGTTGTTACAACCGCGGTCGACCACGCGCAAACACGTATTGGACCAACCTTTTATTGGCTTTTCCCGTCTAATGCGCATTAGATAATATTATTCCCGCACAACGCGAGCTAGTGACATAATTTATTAAGTACCCATAAATAAGTATATTTTTTTAATAATAACATAAGACCCCCGGGACGGCGATGTTTGATTGAAAGAACATAATGGTCATAACAACGGGTTACGACTACCTACCTCAAATGTTTCCACGAGATAATATTGTACTCACATCTTACTGCAGGTTTCCATAAAGGCTCAAGTCCGTAATTTACTTATCCGCACATATATCCGAAAAATCGGAACGTTAACCGATTTTGGGATTTCGATAAAACCAGATTATAGTTGTATACAGTGATGACTTCGTATAATGTGATTTATATTTATATTTTTTGTCTGCAGCTGTCACGCCCTCGGGATTTCGCTTTTCACCCATGCTAGCCGTGATCGCCGTCGGATGCGTCGCGTCTGTCGTGTCCATCGCGTGCATCGTGGCCGTGGCCGTGGCTGTACAGAGGAAGCGAGCTAGGCGCCGTCGCCGCGAACGGTCAAACGACGAGTCAAAAACGGCCATCGACGGTGTTGGCGGAACCGGAACTGGTACAGGGGCTGGAGCTGGAATCGGCGATGGCGGTGGAGTCGATGGAGGTGGTGGTGGAGGTGGCACTGGAGGAGGCACCGATGGAGGCACAGGTGGTGGTGACGGTGGAGATCGTCATCATCAACGAGCTGATGCCGTCGACGACGGTCTGGAAAAGAATCCCGACATCATACCGCACGACAACGGTGAGTAGGATTTATTTTTTCAAATTCCAAAATTGACAACATAAGAATTTGGAATATAAAATAATTAAAAACTAACATAAAAAGTTATATAGTTTATACCGTAAGAAGTGATACCAAATTGTTTTTGTTCCGACGTGTGTCCTATAAATTTACATAATTTTTGCATGCACTGTAATTGTATCCAGACCAATTACACTAGTAACACACTTTTAGGTACCGTACTTCGCTATTGCACACTCATAAAGATTATTTCAAACTTTTGATCTTCAAATCAAAAATCACTTAGTAGATAGCCTGTACTTACTTTCAAGTTTCAACACGTTCCAATCTTTGTGAAAATTGTTCAACGACGATCTTCCGAAACTTTTTAGAATTCGTCAGCCGACACTTCTTGAACGTGTTTTTTTTGTAAAGAGTTTAATACTTTTACAAAACAATTAGTTTCTCAAAACTAACATTATACAACTGCCCAAATATTAACAGTTGTCAAATAAGAGCTTTTTTGTACCTACCTATGTAGTTCGAAACCAACGAACTTTCGCTACCTCCTGCATCATTATATTAATATATATTTTTCGAACAAAAGCAACTCGTGTATTGTTTTCAGTGTTTTTCTCTTTATTTTAATTATTAACGTCTCGAAATATATATAAGAATATATTATAATATGAGATGTTATACTATATAATATTTTTGTCATGAATCAGCCACGATTTATTTATAGTCACCTCCATAGTCAGCTATAAAATCTGTAAAAATTCTCTTCTTTGTAAAATTAATTAATAGTTATTTATGACATTTAAACGGTATTACTTCCTTTATTATATTTATTTATTTGTCCATCAGAGCAAAACATTTCTGATTACGTTTTATGTACGTCTAGACAGTAGACATTGACTGTAACGCATTAGTTTAGCTGCAATATTAAAATAATAATAATAAACAAAATTTACTTTTACATTTGCCTCTCCATCTCTACCCACCTGCAAGGTTATAATATAATATTTTTTTATTTTTTATTTGTCCGTAAATGATTCAATGTTAGTTACAGTCAGTGTTGTCTGGGTATACCTATATTAAAAAAAAAAAACAAATAATTTCCTTATTATGCAATATAACTAATTAAATACCTACCTATGCAGTTTGAAAAATTAACAAACGTTTTATATGTTATTTTTTTAAACATTATTTTAGTACAATTGTAGTAGGTACCTAATTATTTTTCATTTGCTGTTTTTATCGGGTAAAATATATTTTTTTAGATATATAAGTAACCATATCTATATGTCATATCACGTTTTTCCATGACGTTAATATATGATTATATTATATACAAATTTGAATACGGCAAATACTATAAACAATGTTCTTTTGGAGTGTTAATATTTTTCTCGGAAATAAACAAAGCTTTTTTCAGCAACCCTCGTGAGCATTTTGTATTAAACATCCCGTTTAAAAGATCTATTCCGTTCTACTTCTATATGAAATAAATTAATTTCTACGAAACAATTTTATTTTTCATTTTAACAATACGGCTTTAGACTACACGGTTTTCGTTAGTCTTACTCGCTTTCATCGTGAAAAACGTTTCGCTAAAATATACACGTTTTTCCCACAGATTACTTAGACGAAGACGAAAAGGCATTTGAACGGTTAAACAGTGGCAGAATATACTCTTCACGAATGGTCGACGCTGAAGCATGCAAACAACAAGTAAGTCCAATAAGCGTAATACGCTACGAACGTATAATAATTTATAGCCGAAAGCAGACTTAAAACGAAAATTCTAATTTATTACAAAAGTGTAGAGAAGAACCATAAAATACTTGGTATTTGTGGGTAAGTTGTAGGTTATCGCAACTACCAAAAATCCACGACGGTCTACTACCATAGTTCGGCCGGTGGGTACGTAAAAAAAGTTACGACCGGTATGCTCCGATATAGCTAGCAATAAAAAATAATATATTTTGTTTATTTGATGCTCACATTTTTCAATAAATTGCAATTACATTTAAAACAAACACCTAGCCATATATCAACATTATCACGTATCTACAAGTATTGCAGGTACGTCGCATAATATTATTATCATTATGACATTACATTTCATTATGACAAACACTGCTGACAGTATACATCGAACACTGTAGGGTTCGAAACACTGACGATGACTGACGAAAATAAATTAAAAGTAGTCGGGTTGTAATATTATGTGACATAGGTAATGTTTTTCTCTAATGAATTTTAGAAACTTTACACTATTCGCGGTATCCTGATGGCAGATAAACATATTTTAAAATCTGAGTTTTACTGATGTAATAATATTGTTAATGTAATATTATTATCTAATAAAACTACAGTAAACGGTCCATAACAGCACGACCTACATGATATTAATATTGTTTGATTATACACACTATTCAAATAATATGTATTTGTAGGCAGTAGCTATACGTCTTTTGTGTGTAAAGTAATATAAAATATAATATATTATATAAACTAATATTATCTTTGTAAGTAAATACCAAAATTAATAATGTACTTAGATTTCAATTTTTATTCATTATTTACTTGGAATAATATAAACTATATGTTTATTACCTTAACTACGTCATTATATCTACATTTATATTTTGTATGCTTCATCTGTGTTATTAATTAGTTTCGTTCCAAAAAATATGATTTCTAAGTATTCGGCTACGAAAAAAATTTAAATAATTTGATTTTATGCGTTTCGTTATTACCTCTTGGCCAAACTGCGGTTCATAATAACAACTGAAATTTTTATAATATAATAAAATATAATCCTTCAACGTCTTCATGAAAACTGTATAATGTTCAGATATCGAAACTAATTTGAATGTTGAATACATTTAAACCAATGGCGTGCACGCATTACACGCGTTCATGTTTCCAATGATTATAATGTATAATATTAGATGACAGCTAGCCATGATGGCTGGGTACAAGAAAAAATTGGTATTAAGCAGATAGGTAGGTATAGGCATTGTTGGGGTACCCACGCCATTACGCTCGATCGTGCACGAACATAAATTACACTCAAAGATTTGAATAAATGAATAAACGTTTATAATATATTACATTATTATACAACAATACCGACCGCCGCCGCTAAATGAAGATATAAGCCACGCAGACGCCTTAATCTCCTTATACTCGTCATCTTCGAAATCCGGTGTACTTACTGCTCGAAATAATTTTGCGAACGACTGCGAAATAGTTATACTTAGATAATATCTTCGTGTATGCGTTTCGATTCGTTCCCTGAGTGATAATTTAAAGGGTGCTCGTTCGACGTGACGCAAATCAATTATTACTGCTTCGTTGTGCTATGTGCCGCTGATTTCAAAAGATATTGAGGAAATATTTTTAGCTTTCCAGATTTACGGTGAAGTTAATTTATTTTAAGTTAAGTTATTTTTCTCTGAGTATCCCTAAAACCCACATTAATTTACAAAAATTCGTTCTTCAGTCAGGCGAGTGCCGTGAGTGCCGTGATTTTGAAAATTTTTGGACTCTACGAGGCTTGGGTACATGAACAATTTTCAAAATAAAAGAATTCGATATATTGGTTCACATATATAATTAGAAAATACAAATTTCTAATATTAATATTAAATGATCAAAATAAATGTTGTTACAACTATTTTCAGGCATTTTTATGTTTTCTTGTCAGTTTTCCAGTGTTATTCAAATCGTTTTTAAAATTACTAGAAAGTTTTGTAAGTTCTCATTTTAAAATAACCATACTTTACCAATTCCCAATCTACGACAACGTGGAGTAATAACAATGAGAATTTTCGTTCTCCGTTTATATTGGAAAAACTCGTTATTCATTGTAAAGCTAATATTCTATATTATATTATTTGCTTGGAATTTAAAACGAATATTATAATCAGATAAAAAGAAAAAAAGTTTTTGCACAATATATAGATAGGTATTACTATACAATATTGTGTTTGTTGACGGATGAGACTTTTAAGAGGATTTTGGTCGATGTTGGAGATTTCCTAACCATAAAATCACTGGTGCATCTGTTAGATAGGTACAAAATTTAAATTATAAAATTAAAATAATAGATGGACTCAAATAATCACTATATTTTCAAATTAAAATAGATATATAAGTAGATGTCAATTGGCAATGTCAAGTCGAATTTATTTTTAACTATTTTTATACTTTTTACTTTTCTACAGACATTTTAATTTACAATATCATATTTAAATGATTTTTATTCACATTCTATGTGTGCATAAAATAGAGTATCTGCACAGGGACATCGCATTACAATGTCGACATCAATACATATTATGTTTTCAAAACAATTAAATACCTAAAATTGTTTAGAAAAAATTGTAGATACCAGCTATCGTCACGAGAAAGTGCTTAAATTAAATTTAAAATCTAAAGCCTAGATTTTAAGAAAGTTCATTTGTAGGACAAATGTGTTTTATAGGTACTTGAAAATATAAAAATCAGGTTTTGAATAAATTGGAAGCCTAGCAAAAGGCTAAGTAAACTTAAAAAATTGTAAATATATTTTTAATAAGAAAACAACCACCAACTACAACTCTGCTACCCCTCGAGAACCCCGCACCATCTGTTTAGACATTATTCTGAGTGCCACCTTATTGTGTTACAGGCTCGTGGGCTTATGCCACCACCTCCTTCGATGACACCACAACAGCAGATCTATTCTTCGGACATTGTCGGTGGTTCTCCATTGGCTGGCGTCGTGTACCCAAACCTGATGTGCCCCACGCCGCCACCGCCACCGTCACAGCTGTTGCTCCACCAGCATTATCAGCAACAGCAACTGCAGCAGCAGCAACAGCAACTTCAGCAACAGCAGCCCACTGCCGCATTGCACCACCACCGGCACAATGGCGGTGGACCTCAGCACGTTCAATACGTGCAGGTTGACCACCAAAACCAGTTCGCCAGCCACCCACACCAGCACCACCATCTACATCATCATCCCCTGCCGCCACCACATTACCAGCCGGTCCCTCAGGCACGGACCATGACCCTTGGCCGTTACCACAACAACCACAAACACGGTCACAATCAACCACAAGACCGTTCTGCCGAGATACCTCTGTTGTTGGCCGCCCAACCCGGGCTCCAACACCACCATCAGCTTCACCAGCGCGAGAGCACGGTATAAATCGTCGACATAGCTCTTCTCCCCCTCCCCATACTGACCATTATATTTATTTATTTTTTACGATTATAGATTATTATTATAATTATTAATTTTTTAATTATTTTTCCATTTTGCATCGTGTTTTTTTTTCTATTCTACGTGACGACAACCTATAGTCCGTAGTTCAATACATTTTTTATTTTTTTTAACCAGTTAGTAACTAAAAATCAAATGGCAATAAAATCCGGAACCATAACCGAAAAAGCCAAAGATCAGGTTAGAATGCATGACATTATTGTATCGTAGTTAGTGATCTATGAATTATACCACTTACCAGTTACCACCAATGAGTCGGGGATGTTATGAGTAATAATACATTTAAACGAATAGTGGTGGGTAGTGACATAGACACAAATAAGGTGAATTATAAGACAAGGGGGGAGTTACCCCTGACCTCCCTCCCTGGGAACCCTATTTACCTGATTTTCTTATTTGAACCATTTATCTCGATGGTATCTAATTTATTAGATCTTAATTTATCACGTACAAATTTCGTTCCCTCGTTCATGTTACAATTATTACAAAATTTACAATATTAATAATATACTCGTATGTAATTTGATTAATAACATTCCTAACCGGGTTTTTCTTTTTTTTCTATCGTTCTGTCTCTGTACATACAACCGACGTAACATATTGTTTACTCTTCAAAACAAATTTCAATAAATTCGGAACTGATCACCGCTCATAGAGCTATTATCTGGTGGATGTACATTGTACATCTATTCCGTGGTACCTGTGTGACTTATAGTTCGTTCCGTTTAATCACTTTGAAAAATATGTTTGTACCGATGACATGAGACTTTGGCTTTATAAATAAAAATCACACCCTTAAAAACGGAGTGGGCTTAAAATATGAATGCGGCACAAATTATTTACAGCTTATTCACATATTCTCGTTATAACTGGTTAAGTATATTCATCAAAACATTTTTTTATGCTCGCATATTGTATGCGAATACAACGAAAGCACTTTAAATGCATTTAGTGTGATCCATTTAAATGCACTCGATTTAATTCCGCGTTAATATTATAATACAATAATTGCAACTATAGTACCTATATGCCTGTGTTGTCATACGGACCACAAATATTTTTTAACGAGCTGTACATTTTAACTATGTATTTAAATGAGACCCTAGTCTATAATGTAATTATTATTATTTATTTATTATTATTATGACTATTTTTTTTTTTACATTAAATTAAAAACGCTTACTATATTAATATAAAGTTTGTAGACCATAGCGTTGTGCTGATAGCTTTCATATTTTATTTATTTGTTTTGTTTGTAAGCTGCATGCATAGGTATTATAATTTATATATTTTGTCATTAACACGTCATACAAAATGTACGCTCCTAATAATTGTTCTAAATTATAATATAGTATAGTTCCTATATTACGTTATAATAATATTATATGGGAAATACATTTTGCGTTTTCAATTTATTATATTAAAGTTCAGTAAAACCTCTTTATAACGGACCTCCTATGGGATGGAAATCTCATTACAACGGAAAATAACAACAGTAACGTATAACCTTTATCCTGTATATTTTAGCCTAACTATAAGGAAAACTTTTTATAGGGAAAACATCAGTTGATACTCTTATAAAGAGGTTTTACTGTACATAATATTACCTATATTATAATAATGCAAAGACTGTAAAAAAGTATTTTTATTTAATGCGCAAATTTAACAAAATTTTAGTTTATTACTATTATTATTATTATTATTTTTTTTTTATTATTTTTATTAATACACAATTTTTATATATGTATATAATTGCATTGTGTATGATTATATTTTAACGTTTGTAAATCAACTAATAAAGAGTACTTTCGACTCACTTTCATACAATTATGATTTAGTTTATTCTATATTATTTTTTCTGTTAACAAACTTTTGTGTCTTTAAATTATTGCACGTGTTTAAATAGTTTTTCACACCGCATGAATTTTTTTATCACCCTTGAGTTTTTACTGCCTGTAGAAATAAAATAGATCGTTAAGTTTTGTTTTGCATAACTTTTATAATGTAATATCCTCACCTCCCCCCTCCCCATCGCCCTCTACTATTTAGATTCTACTTCAAACGATTGAATAAGTACAGTATAGTTGTAGGTGCCCGATAAATATTTAACTGTTCAATATATCTTATTGTTTTTAACAATGACCGGTATAAAATTGAATGACTATTAATTAATTGCCGTAAGATATAATACTTTATATTGATGTAATATTTTACAGAGTAAAATTAGGGCTTTTCTCTGCGGTTAAAACGATTAGGTAACTGCAAAAACCACTCAGGTCTTGTAACTTGGTAATAATTTTATTCCTACACATATTATTATAATATAGTGGATGTATTTTAATGCAATAACGAAATATTTCAAGCAATAAAAATATAAACACAATTCGTGCGCGAAAATATTATACATAAAAAAAAGTTCAGTTGAATATTCACATACATTATGGAATAAACCCTATATAATCCCAAGAGTATATAAACTCTTTCAGCTTTAAATCAACATTATTTTGGCACATTTCATTATTTGTCAAAACACATTTATTAAAATTCGTCGTTTGCTCAGTGTTATTTTTTTTTTTTTTTGTCAAAATAATATATTTTTAGTTTTTACCGGAGGTGCCTATATGAAGATTTTAAATTTTCAATCTCGTATAGTTATGCAAATATTAGGTGTACCTATAGTTGGTTATTACTAATAGTTTATATATGCAAATAATAAACATTGCTTTATAAATTATAATATTATATTCAAAGTCAAACATTTGCAACAAACACGGAAATACTATATTTAGGCTTCGTGAAACTAATGAATTAATTTTCAATCAACGTTTCTCCCAAAGTGAACAGTAATGGCGGGCGAACAGTTCGGTGGAATTTAAAACAAACAGATTTCTCTAAATTTCTGAATATTAACTGATAAGCTTGTAAATTACTAATAACTAAAAAATTAATTACATTTAATTATCTTACATTATGTGGATTTATACGAACACTTTAGATCGTAGCAAAACGTTGATATAAATTTGATAGGTCAATAATGGCCGTGACAAGATAATAAGTGATACGAGATTCCTTGTTTTTATTCGTGGATCGTGGCGTAAATTGCCATTGTAAATTTAACGAAAAAACAGGAAACTATAAATTCCATAAATTCGAAAATAAAGAGAAGCAATTTTGTTATCTGAAATATCTGTAAGAAAATCGTTTAATTAATATGAAATAAAGCAATTATATTATTTCGATCCGATTTAATAAAACTGTTTTTAGGTTTTGATGTCTCCACACATCCTGACGATAATATTATAAACTCACCACCATCGAACTAAAAATTAGAATAACACCAATAAAAAAATAAAACCATTGAGCTCATAAATGTCACACGCCTAGTCCACTGTACATGCTGTCATTGACGACATTCCGATGATTGAATTATTAAATCCTGATAATACGCATAATTACCTATCTCCGGTCACGTATCGTATTAAAACTGAATATCATTCCTCCAATCAACCTTGGACTTCGTATCGAGAAGTGAAAGATTTTATCCACCACCTGTTTTCTATTCAATCGATCTCAAACAAAGATCTCAACAGTGATCTCGTCAACATCTGCAGTGTATAGTTAATATCATCTCTGAGTAAATATCTCAGCGAACCGTCTGTTTTAAAAAACTGAAAACGAAGCTCCATAATATGTATATCGATATAGTTATAAGTTTAGAACAACCGCGTTTCAAACAAAATATCGATTGTTGTTTTTCCCGCAAATAATATATCTTTCATAATATATTTTATGGTGAATGACGGATGTCCGTGGATTACGGTGAAAACATTTAATAAATAAATAGTTTATAACCAAAAGGCCATCCTGTTGGTATCCATATAATATGACGTTCCTTTCAAACCATTAAAACAATAATAATATCGGGATCGAGTATTCTGCATAATATCCACGACGGCAACTAAGTGATTAGGGTCGGGTTAGGTTGGGTTTTCAGTGATTTATTAAATTATTTTAATACGTATATTATAAACGTACGATCGTATATTATCTCTTTCTCACCTGTCGAATTTAATTGGTAGCCTTCCACTTGCGAGAATACTGTGTGTGTTTAGTTGTGGTTATGGCTGCTGATAATCAGCGTTTGACCGTATGTCCTATATTTATTCCAGCGGAGTATTTATCATAATATTATGTCTACAATAAGCTACATTGAGCTAGACTTTTTCGCATCATGACAATTTTTGAGGGGTGACGCATGAAAAATTATTCTGGTTATCCTGATCATAAACCTCAATGACCGATCACAGAAAAAACATATTCAGGTTTCATGGTATATCTAAAACAAATGTAGGTAGGTACCTATGTTCAACGCCTACGGCTTATAAATATAGAGCAAAACCAAAATAATTATACTTAAAAAAAAAACTAATTTATAGAAATATTTTAGGAGAGTTTAATTTTTACCTGTATCCAGTAACCACTAGCCAATTTAGCAAATAATCCTTATAGTTAGTTGTATTGATGATACTCAACTAATAGGGAGTCATAGAAATGATGGATTTACAATATATAGGGACCTAATCATAGTACATCGCAAGATATCGTGATTTAATTATATTTACTAACTCATTATTGTGAAACAGTGTGCTACATTCGTCTAATCATACGTCTAAGTGTCTAACACAATAATATATAGACCAAATCGTATTACACATATCAATATAGGTATCACGTGAATGCAATACCCTACCAAACTCACTTGACCTGAGTGAAATTTGCTATACCCGAAAATGTTCTGCTTTCCTCGAAAGTCTTCTTCAACCCCATCGCAACTGCCTGTTTTTATTGATGCTAAATCCGCAGCCATTGTTTACCAAAATATCTCATCATGCGTAAGATAAATAACTGAAATGCCTTAAAATAAATTCCTATAAATTACTTATAATAGTATGTACGGAATGACTTTCGGTAGTATTTAATATTATGCACACAACTTACGTTTCTCGATGTGTGTTGTTGCGTGTGTACAGACCGACTTGACGGCGGACCCGCAGCTGCAGCAGAGAGGCGCTGTCGGACCAGTCTTTGGAAAACCACCCCCGTTGGCAGCGCCATCGCAACAGCAGCAGATCATCGCCGCCACGAGGTTCTGACAGACGGACTTCGAGCCGATTCCCGAGGACGATTTGGTCATGTTGTGAGCTCGCCCCCGGACAACCCCCAACACGAGACGACGGCGACCACACAACAGCAACTGACCATATACTAAATCCTCGTGAGGTTATGGTATACGGACCGCGGACTTTCGGCGAATACGCCTTGAGTATTCAAAAAAACAAAAAAAAAATGCTCGGGGATGAACGAAAAAAAAGTGTTTTTAATTTTTTTCAAATTGTTTAATATTATGTCTTCTACTGTTGTCGTTTGATTTATGTTCCCCGCTTTCAGTCGTAATCCACCGTTCCGATCGTTGCTGCGACGTACCGCGATAAATAGCGTATTATACCTAAACCTGAACTACAACTAACCCTACCCCTGCGATCCCATTGCACGACGCTATCTGCAACCACCGATTTTCTGAGAAAGTAAATCGCGATCGATTTTCGCCCACCGGTCTCTAGCTGTAAGAAAATATTATTATGATATAGACTCTTGACGCCCTCCCCCTCCCCATTCACCCCTCACCTTCACCGCCACGAATGAAAAACGTCATGTCGTGACGCCGGCGGCAGATCCGTATCTACGTACCGTCGTTATAAAATTTTCGACGACGATAATTAATCACTAAAAACCATCTCAAAGTATAATAAATCCCTAAACTATATACGGGACATCTGTTTCGTCGCTCCCGAAAACTCTTACGGGCACACTCAAAACATCATTATAAAAGTTTCGCCGTTGTAATATAATATATTATATTGTGTATACGCGCACGCTAGAGGTAAATTAACGACAGTTAATTTTTTTTTTTACGAACAGAAAAAACGCAAAATGTCCGCCCAATGTCGTCGGAATTTCTCAACTTAATGGTTTTTCTTTTTTTGTTCTTTTCCTTTTTGATTCAGGCACCCTAGTTTTTATGATACCTACTACTAAACCCAGACGTTATCAAGGCCCTCCAAGTCGCCGCCGCCGAACGAACCGGCCATAATAGTATTATTATAAAAATATATCATTTCACCTTCCGATTCTGACGATTTGCAAGAATCACACAACACACAGAGTGTCGGCACATTGCAGGCGACACAGTTGAGGGCAATATTTTTTTTTACCTATGAATTGTTTTTACAAATTACTCAATTATTTTGTTCAGAGATGTCCCCTTTATTTCAAAAAGACTACACTATTAATATTAAGATTATTTTAAATATGGTTAAATAAAAGAACACTTCGTTAATATAAAATTCGATAGAAGAAATAAATAATTGTATCCGTCATATTTCACAATTTGGTAACAATTAAACATTATTTTTATTATTTGACTATGATGTTGAAGATAGAACTATTCAATTTTCAACTAGGGCTTATAGACATTTTTTTTTTTTATTTAACTTTTAAAAGTTGTAGCAAACAGTTCATAGAAATTTACACAATAAATCTAGATATAAACATATCGAGTGAAACTAATGTCATTCCAGTAATTTTTGTATTACTTCCAAAAAAAAATGTATACTCGATTATATTAAGAATCTCAACCCCAATATATAATTAAATTGTTATTTTTATGAATATGTCAGTATCGTAAGAACAGTTCATACTTCATAGGTACAAAAAAAAAAGTGGCTACAAGTGCCACCAAAAAGGTTCTGACCACAACTGTGCTGACCGCATCAATCCACAAAGATCATGATACGATCGCATTGCTTGGTCGTGAATCCGTGAACCGATAATAGGGACTGGAACCGAACCGAAAAGAACCGGTTCTGAACCCAAATACCATTAAAATATTGAGAACCGGAACCGAATTTAAATATTTTCAAATAACCGGAACCGGAACCCATATTTTTAAATTAAAATATTTGTATGTACCCTATAGGTACATAAAACATTTAATTTGAAGATACTAAAGAATAAATAAAATATATACATTTTTGTAATCGTTTAATACTTGTTTTAACTAGAACCCTAACTTAAACTATTAAATTAATTTTCCAAACCAGAACGAACCAGAACCTCTTAATAAAATAATTAAGTACGGAACAGTAAAAACTAAACGGTACCAGTCCCTGACAGACACTCGACTTGCCGATATGTGATGCAGACGAGTTTTTCCATTTTCCGGAGTGCCGAAAGCGCAGTGCCGGAGTTTCCGTTTTTCCTAAATCGAGACAATCCATAATACACCTCACGCGATTTTGTTTTTTATTTCTACTCTCGATTTCCGTTGACGCATACCCGTGTGCACCCATTTACCTACCCACACCCGCCTATCTGTCTTACTCATTCAATTATTTCGTGTTTCTATAAATGTGCTGCAATACGCATTATATTATTATATTATTAACAATAATCTATGTACCTACCACGAATGTTGTAAAAATTAATTGTTCCTTATCGTTCGATGCTCAAGAGTCACTCAATCGACGTAAATGGACACAATTTTTTAATATGTGTTATTTATGAAATTGGGAAAGTTTTTTTTTTTAAGTGTTAACTGTATGAATTCGAGGTTGTAAATATTATGTTGTAAATTAAAACAGCTTGTGGCTACAATGTTTTTATAGACTCAAAATCAATGTCTTTAATATAATATTGAACCATTTTAATCATATATTATTATTATTAAATACTACTATAATACATATTATTATTATGTTTGACTTGTGTTACCTCTGAGATAATTTTCGTTAAGTTTAAAAGTAAAAAAAAACACTTATTTAATGTTACTGCATACTATACTTTAATATAGGTACTGTGCTTTTGTCGTACTTGTATAGTTATTATAATATGTCTATTATATTGATACAACTTATAATGTAAATGTATATCTTACTTTAAGATAGGTAAATATGTGTAACAAAACATTTCCACGATCACAGATTCACGTCAATTCCGAAAAAGTATATTATAATAAATTATTATGAAAGCTAAGAAGCAAAAAGTAAAAACTGTATCATATAATAGATAGTTTAGGCACTCAACTCTGCAGAAAATGCATCGTTGCATGCACAATTAATGTGTTATAAATTGTCTTCACTCATTTACGGTTTTCAAAACGTAGGAACAACAAATCGACAAGCCGTATGAAAATGTAAAAATGTAGAGTAGCTTTAAACTGACCTAGTTACCTGTATAGGTTAAAAGAAAAGTTTTCTAAAAGGAAGACTCGGAATGCGCTGGAATGTTTAAGTGAACGATAATAATCAGATTGATGCCAGGCGGCTAATTATATAAAGTGTTTTTTTTTTCTGTAAATAAATTAGCATTATAAATATTATCATTATGTTATTTATGTATTTAAATGTATGTTTTCTTATATATGTTAATTTATAAGAGGGCTTTAATATGGTTTTCTTGTTTCGATTTTTTTTTAAATATAAACGTAATTGCATTATTTCGATGATTCCTGTTTAATATTTGACTAATCCCTCAAGTAAATACTTCTAAATTGTTTTACAGTGCTAAAATGAAAGTGTCATGTTAAAATATAGTATATCAACAGTAGCAATTCGTATACTGATTAATATTATAGATAATTTTTTTCACGCAGGTTTGATAGTTCAAAAATACCAATACATGCATATTACATTACTCCATTTAAACTTTAAACGTAGTTTTCATAATACATTTTCGCTAGCCATACGGTTTATTACATTTATCGTAACATGTTTAATAATAATATTGCAGTATATTATATTGTAAGGTGTTTATATGTGTTGTAAATATAATATATTTATAAGATAGTGTTATTGCAAGTCAAAGTTTATAAAATGTCCTTAATTAATATTATATTATTATATGGTTTAAAAAAAAAATAAAACGTGAAGTTAGTCCAAATCCATTATAATTAATATTATATATTGTGATTTGTGTAGATGTCTATAAATATAAGTTATATATTTCATTGTATTTAAACGTTTTTTCAGTATATTTTATTATTTGAAAAAAGATACATAGCACCTAATCATTATTGTTTTAATATTATTTTTAATATTAATTTTATTTTATATTATTATAATTATTATTATTATTATATTATAAGAGTTTATTGTTTATTAATTTCATCTAGTATGTAATTAGATTCTATTAGAATACTAGCTAATATACACTATTAAAGAAACGTTTTAATAATATTTCAAAACGATGTGTTAATTTGATTTGAACTTACTCTTGAGTCGTGTTTGATAATAAATTTTGATTAATGTTATTTGCACATATTATTTAAAAACCAATTAACATTAAAATGTATTATCTACACACAAAAATTAAGTGGGATAGTCTAATAATATGTCCACACAGATCCCCAACTACAGTCAGTTCAAAAAATTATACTAATACTGCAGCGGTGTATTGTGCGAGAAATAAAAAAAACTGAAGAATGGATAATAATATACCAATATTAAAATTTAAACCTACCTTTGTGATATATATCAATTAAAAAGGCCACAGCCCGTGATAATCGTATCAATGACTAATAAGTATTATGAATATAATTCGTGGGCACATAACTATAATTTATGTAAAGACATTATCGGCTTTAAACGGTGGACCTATTTCACCTATACCTATTAGATATTTCTAATAAATTAATATGATGAATTAGTTTTTAACTATTATAAATATAAATGTGAAATTGATCGTAATACCTATAATACTTATTTTTCTAACTTATAATACTATAACGATACAAAATATATGTAATGAATACAAATATTTTTCTGAATACCTAGTAGGTAATAATTGAGAATATTAAAAAATAATAAGTTGATTTTAAGTTAACGTAGCGTAAAATGAGTTTCGTTACTAATAGTATTAAACACTAAACATATTAACTGATTAATGTCGAGCATTGTTCAAATAAATTAACAATTCCTTAATATAATACCAACGTAACAGTTTACTAAGCCACACATACAATTAACAGTTAGTAAATTATAAATCCCGAAATTCCTTCACTGATTTGTTCTTCACTAAAACCACCCAAGTCACCACA